AGTTAATCTTCCGGAGTTATGAGGAGTCCTACTGTTCTTTGTTTTGTATGATGTAAGTTTTGTGTACAACAATACCGAGATCTTTGTACAGGATGTAAGTCAACAAAAACTCATGTTTTAATGGAATTTTCTAGTCCTTTGGGGCAAGCATACAAGGCTATAAATCTTTTTGACCGGTCCTTAATATGGATGGAACATTCCTACTGAGAAAATATAAAGGAACTCTAGTAGCTGCATTAGAAATTGATGGACATGTTGGTCTCTTCCCTCTAGCTTTTCCCGTGGTTGAGTATGAAAACAACAAGTCGTGACTATGGTTTCTCCGGCAATTACATGGTCTAGTAGAGCCTATTTGATCCTATACGGACATTTGAATAATATCAGATAGACATTCAAGTTTACTTGGAAGATGTAGAGATTTTTTTCGTGGGATGCACATAAGCATTGTTTGCACATATACGAGAGAATTTCAAAAAGGCATTACGTCGACTCGCGATTGTTGATTTTAATACGATTTGTGATAAAACATATTAGGTTGGAAACATTGATGATGAGCATATATTCAATAGGCACCTTAGAGAGGTACAAACTGTGAAAAAAGAAATGTTTAACTGGCTAATTGAGCGGGATAATAAAAACTAGTCATGTGGAGTATAAGTCTGATAATATGATAGCAAATGCTTCAGAATGTCTCAATGGGGGTTTAAGACTTGCCTAAGGCTTGCCGATTCAAGGTCTTATTTTTTCAATTTTTTATAATTTAGTTGTATTATTTCTAAAACATTCAAGCAATGTTTCAAAAATGATTGAATCAGATAATGTAATATTTGTTCCACGTACTAGAGTGCCTTTGCAAAGAAAAGAATGTGAAGCCCAACAATCTCCACAACCAGTTTGTATCAAACTACATGAATATTAAGTCTTTGATATGAGTTGCAAGACATTTCGAGCGGATATTATCTCATCAGAATAGTGTTCGTGTACGTGAAAAAAATCGCAAATATACCATGTCCCATGTGTATATTTAATTGCAGCATTTAAAAAAAAAAAGACCATATAACTTTCGTATCGAATTATTTTACTATATAATTATTGACAGACGTACGAGACTTTGTTTTATATGATACTGGAGAAGAAGATATTATCACCATACAATCAACAACAAGGTGTGATACCTCCTTTATGTAGAAGACATTGTGGTAGAGCAAGGTCCAATAGGATTAGAATACAGTGGATGAAATTAAATTACATAACTCGCGTCAATGCGGTATTTTTAGAACACTGAACACAACAGCACAATGTGCCCCAATAACTCAAGTTCAAGTAGCTATTTAAATTATATTAGCCTATAAAAGAAATTTTCTTATTAAACCAATGTTTTTCTATAATATTTATACAGGTATGGCAGAGGTAGCGGTATGGGAGGTCGTCGTCTTGCCAGGCGTTACCTCTTTGTTGACTCGGATATGTCTTTTATAGAGAATCTTACAAGGTTTGGATTATCCAACTTTTTTGTGTAATTTTAGAAAGTACATTTTATATATGCTAGGCTGTTTTTTACTGCCCAATACATCAAGCTCGCACATATATTTATAATATTTACTATTACATAAAGATTTGGAGCATTTTCGTATCACTCTATAGGAGGAGCTATTTTAAAATAACTGTATAGAGAGTTAAATCTGCCCATAAAGCCTACGCGTGTTAGAATAACATGATATTTATACTTACTACACGTTTGGTGTTGGGAGCATTTGCATGTCTGGAGACCAGCTCTCCGTGTTTTTATTCCTAGAGATTTATGACGCAAGCCCTTGAGATTCAAGAATACTTTATGCAAACTAATAATATTTGTAATTGTGTTTATAATTTCTTTAATAATCTTAATGAAATGGGGATAGAGTAGAAGTGACACACGGAAATCGAGAAATGTATAGAGATGAAATTAATGAACTAATGCAGAGTGAGGTACATTTTTATATAAATAAATTACTATATTATTTATCCAATTTATAATAAATCGTAAGATTTAAACAAACGTGTTTTTGAAGCACCATATCTCGACGGTATTATGGTGTGATTACCTGAAGTTTTATCTTTAGAGTATGGAAATATGGGCAACTTGTGTATCTCTTATCAACTCGAATCATATGGAGTTGCATCTTCTAGATCAAGTAATGCGACAATTTTCTTCTATACAATCCACAACGATTTGTTCAACAGATTGAACATTTTCACAGGTCGATGGATGACGAAAAATTATCAGGGAGTGGATGCATTACCATCAAAATTTCATTGCTTTGTGAACAACCGTAGGGCACCCATAGTTCCATTAAACCCCTTAAAGGTGATGAAAGTGTAGAACTGTCACATTACTTACAGTGGTATAAATCATGAGCGTCGATCTACATAGTTCAAATGTCTGTTATACCACCAAATACTTACCACCCTAGGTCACATAGGGAGAGATTAATGGTGCGTAAATATTTTATAACAATTTTATACTTATTATTTTTTATATATCATCCTCATTTAATACATTATAAACTTATGCAGGTTGACTATTACATCCGTTCAAAAGGCCTTGCTAGTAGATTTGTTGGTGGCCAAGATGAAGATGTTATGACGATGCAAGAAAGTTATGATGAACTCTGCTAAGCTTTCCAATATAGTGGTTCAATCACTGTTTATTGATTATTAGGGGTGTAAACGAGTCAAACACTAGCGAGCCCAAACTCAGCTCATGTTCGGCTAGTTTATATTTTGAACACAAAAGGTATGTTCGTGTTCGGCTCGCTTGCTTAGCGAGCAAAACACGAGCAAGCTCATGTTCGGCTAGTTTATATTTTGAACACAAAAAGTATGTTCGTGTTTGGCTCGCTTGCTTAGCGAGCAAAACACGAGCAGTTCACGAACAAAGAGTTATTTTAACAACCATAATCACATAGTCATAAGATGTTACGGGTTGAGGC